TCGGCGGGCCAGCCAGCACCCCCCGGCAAAACCCCCCAGCCGCATTGGCAGTGGCCAGTAGCAATCCGACACGATCCACACAAGCTGTCAGCAGCGTTGGCAGTCGGAGGGGAGGGCGGGTGGTACTGGCAAGTGGCAACTGCCCACAAGCACCGGCGGGGGTTTTTTTGGGCGGGGGCGCCCAACCAGTTCTTCTGTGAAATACCTACACCTCCTACACATCGCCAATGCCACATGCAATACACATCCCCAGTGACCTGCTGTGGGTAACATGTGCCGCAGGCTGGCCCCTCACATCTTATGCTGTGCACGGTGCTGGGGCCAGGTTGTGTTGTGTGTGGTGTGCAGGGCTAGAGCTGTACACATGGGGCAAGCACCACATGTAACTAGTCCACAATGCACATTGCATGCAGTGCCTCTACGAGACCAGCCCTGTGGGCTTGATTTGGCAGCTGGGGTCCATCTGTGTTTGACACCGCTGGGTTCAAGGGAAGCTGGTGGTGGAAGAAATGCGGGGGAGCTGGGACCTGGGATCTATACGAGTCAGGGGAAATTGGTCCTTGGGGATGTCATATTCATGACAGTAGATACAGAACCAGGACCCTGCTAATGATTGCTGAGCTAATATTTTGTCAATGTGATGCCTTGCAAGGGAGCTTGTTTGTCTGAGTTATGGAATATATTAATTATATTTAGAATTTTTTTTTTTTTGCACCTTACAACTTGACTTTTTCCTTTTGTTATCTTCTCATGTAAAACTACGTAGGAAGTAACCCAATTGCAACTTGGTGCCTCCCTGCATGCTAAGGTGCCCAGGCTGGCTAACTGGGACAACAGAGCCAGATAGAGAAGCTCAGGGCCTTCTCAGAGATCCCATGACTTGTGTTGTGAGGGGGATTAAATTAGAGCATGGGTCTTCTGTTCAACTCAGGCTGTTTACATCCGGGCTTTTCCTTCTGAGCTGTGCAGGACTCCAGGGATCGAGTCCCATGAGCCTTTGGAAGAAAACAAGGGCAAAATTGCTGTCTTGCTTCACTCCTTTTCTACAAGGCAGGGTTGAGGTCAGCTGCACACCCAGAAACCTGGTTGGATTTACTCCAGTCGCTCAGTGACAGAGGGAGCAGAGAAAGACCTCTGGGCTATCTGTGCTTTTGGGGATCTCGACTAGTGGTCGGTGCAGAGGAGATCTGAGAGATCAACTGGACAAGAGCAAAGGATCTCAGCAGGGGAAGCCTGAACATGACACAAGAGATAAGAAAGCTTCCACAGAAACAATTTCAGTAAGTTTTCTACATCAGTGAAGTGTCCTCTCTTAGTAAGATGCAGAGGAGATTTAAGAATATAAAATTTGGAAAACCTGGTTACGAAAATCATACTGTATTGTATGTATAATAGATTCAAAGCTACAAGAGTTAATGAAGAATATTTCACTGTTTTTGCTATTAATTCAGATGAAGTTATACAGCTTATTGGGAGTTGGGTGGACGGTGGGGTGGAAATAGGAGCTCTAAGGACGTCAAATTTTATATATCTTTTATTTCACATGTATTTGTTTCCAGCATACATTTTCTAGATGAGATGGATAAATTATAGACTTTTGGATTTAAATCAATAAAAATTAAAAAAATAAAATCCTGAGTTGTGGCTGGGCTAACATTTTCTTCACTTTCTAAATGGAATATCAAAATAATTTATTTTATGTAGGGTCTTGCCAGGGAAAAATAAGTTATTAAAATTAAATTTTCTATGAGGCAAAAAAAAGAATATTTACATTCTTAGTATGAAATTTGGA